TCAATCTCGTTGGTACTCACAAGCCTGAGCGAGGGAGATGCAACCACTGCCTGGGCAACTTTCTGACANGATGTATGGTTACTACATACCTAGCGCTTGCGCCACCTATCTTCAAAATCTCGATTTTTAGGGTTTGGAAACTTTTCATTTACCATTAAGCTCTTGACATCAATTTTTACTTCAATAAACAACCAGTGAACGTAGTACTTGTTAATGAGCATAGATCACTCGGTTTCCGAGTGCGAGCCAGTTTTTTGAAGGCCAGCCAACTCAGGATCCCGAACACCACTTCACATTGTCATCAACACTTCGATGGTCGACTCAATATGTTCCCATGGAGACTCAGCAACTATTTAGCAAGCAGTTCAGTTGTTGAATAAGGCTTCCTCATTCGGCGTGTTTAGGTTCAGGTTTAGTGGAGAATAGCAGTCACGAATGGACCACCACCGCTGAGTATGAACGAATTCACACGCTGAAAATGCATAAGCGATACGCCATGGTGCTACCACCATCTCAAGTTTTGAGGAGCAACCTACACTTCGATTTACTACACTCAATATGGGCATCCTCTTGAACGCTTACCTCTCACCATATCAAAAAAAAAACTTTGCCAATCAAATTAGAAACTCACAAGAGTTTCTCGTTGATATCCCGAGCTTGGATCCGTGTTTTTGAAGATCAATCTCGTTGGTACTCACAAGCCTGAGCGAGGGAGAGGTAACCACTCCCTGGGCAACTTTCTGACATCGTTTGACGAACGTAAGGCGCTGCTCTCCGTCACTGTTCACTGCTTGGAAGTAGTGACTCTGCAAGGAAGCTCGAAACTTTTCCTGTTCGATTAAATCGCTTTAGTTAGTTACTTATGCTTGGTTTAAGATTGCTTCAGCCTCAATTAGTTCAGAAACGAGACATGTTTTTAGGCTCACGCTACAAAAATTCTGAAACCTTTGATAGAAACTCAGTCAGCAACAGTGACTAGTTCGTTCTAATTGACAAGTTCAGGGATTCACAAGAATGAGATGTTTGTATCAGAAGAATTGCACTCTATACTTTGTCCAGTAGTACGTACCTTTCCGAATGGTTCTTGGCAATAAGGAATGTCTGAGTCATTAACATCTGCCGATAATCCTTGAGATGCCAAAACAGACGCAGAATCCGAGCTCTGTAAGCAGAAAAAAACTGCCGATACTTGAAAAGCGATGCTTTGTCCCTACACAACCAGTTTGTGTATTCTTTGTTTCTGCGCTCTTTTCCATATTCAACCCGTCAACAACCCATCAACATAGCCCTGGGAGACTTTGAAGCAAATTTGACAGTGACGTCTTCTAAGGCGGCGTATGACTTCCAGGGGAATGAGTGGCTTTCTAGTCACCAGCACGACCATAAAAGCTTTCTACAGGAAGAAAGGAGCAAATTTGTGATTTTTCTGTAAATGAGCAATTTCCAAGCTGGAGAATTTTTTATGGCTGCTTTGCTGTGTTACGTATAGCAGGTGCCGCATGTAATCTCTCTTAGCTTTACTTTCAATGGTCGCACTTAGCTTTTATGAGTAATTTCCAAACGAACTGGGCAAAGAGCTCTCGCTCCCATGCCCTTGTGTACCTACAGGCTACATCCAAAATTACCTCCAACACCTTAGGCACAACATCTTTCTGACAAAATCATTAATAGCAAAATACCAAACCTGGAATAAAACTCAAAACAAAAAATGTTTTCTTCGGACCCGTTCGCGCTAGATCGCTTATGCTTATGAGTTGTAAACTGGTTTCTTTCCTAGACAATTAAGACTTTATATTCGAGGAAACTTTAACAATACTCACAAGTTCGAGAGCTTCTCTGCTTATCTTGTAATGCAGCGATCCCTTTTCCGGAGTGAAATCGTGCACCGAAGTCGAATGGCGAGAGAAAGGACTCAAACGAGCAGCAATCAAATCATCTAAAAGTAGAATTGAATTTGATTCAATACATCAATTCGAAAAATCAAAACAATGCCCAAGACAGGAATCGAACCTGTGTCGCCACGGCCACAACGTGGAGTACTAACCACTATACTACTTGGGCCGAGATAGGTCGTACAACAACGAATATTCGTAGCATTGATCAAAATCAAATAATCGAAACAAATACAAAACGATGCCCAAGACAGGAATCGAACCTGTGTCGCCACGGCCACAACGTGGAGTACTAACCACTATACTACTTGGGCCGAGAGAGGCCGTACAACAACGAATATGTGTAGCATTGATCAAAATCAAATAATCGAAACAAATACAAAACGATGCCCAAGACAGGAATCGAACCTGTGTCGCCACGGCCACAACGTGGAGTACTAACCACTATACTACTTGGGCCGAGAGAGGCCNTCAAATCATCTAAAAGTAGAATTGAATTTGATTCAATACATCAATTCGAAAAATCAAAACAATGCCCAAGACAGGAATCGAACCTGTGTCGCCACGGCCACAACGTGGAGTACTAACCACTATACTACTTGGGCCGAAAGCTCGTTCACAACCGTTGTTTATCAAGCGCGCATTTTGCGACCAACAACAACAAGCAGGATAATTATTACATGGCCTTGCTGATTAATGGGTAATCACTAGGTGTTTCATATTTGACACCTATTACTATATTATTTATTATTACTCAAAACCTATTAGGGAGGCTCACCCTCGAACAAACAAGTTTGAAAATAAAGAAGAATGAAGAAAAAAGGACTAAAGACTAATTCGGTGACTTTCGTAATGCTATTCATTTTCACAGTCAACACTGTGAACGCCCCCAACTCTAAACGTAGAAATACGCTTCGTAGATGCAAAACAATGCCCAAGACAGGAATCGAACCTGTGTCGCCACGGCCACAACGTGGAGTACTAACCACTAGGGCCGAAAGCCAGAACACAACCGCTCCTTATCAGCTGGCAACTTGGCATCAACATTGATATAGAAAAGAATAAATACTACCCGGTTTGGCTGCTTAGCGATGGTCACGGTGACTTTTTTCGATTTCTTACGAAAAGAAATTGGAAGGAACCTTGAGAGCGATAAGTACCAGAAGCTCGAGGGCGGAAAGTTAAAGTACAGGGCTGACAAATTCCCATGTACCTATTGGCGACTATTACGTTTACTGTTTTCTATTACCTACCACCTGCATCTAACGATTTCCGATTCAAATAAGTGAGGACTGTTTTAAAAACCCGGTTGAAAGGGAAGCCAACATGAGATTATCCCTGGACATCCCTTCCAAGGGAAGCGATGTGAAGTTATGTGGACGAGTTTATGACCAACGATCGAGAATTTCACTCACCAACAAATGTGTCATAGTGCAATACTAGTGGATGAAAACTAGCATCTGACGTCTCTTCAATGATGGGTTGGGTGGCACAGTGTAGTGCGATGTGTAACGAGCGGCAATCCCTGGTCCGGAGTTGTTGGCAAGCCACCAAAACCGTGCAGGATTGACAATCTCGTAGAAAAACGCTGAATAACTGATGCTAGCGGAAAAGCAAACGAAAATTTATAAAAAAAATCCTAATAACCCAACTCAGCCGAAGATTTTCTTGGCGAAAGGTGTAGCATATCTAGCAGGCATTGAAGGTAACATTAAGTGCTGTTGATTAGGACTCTTCCTTTTGATGCTGGCTACTCCTCCTAATGGACGAGTCGTAGCAGGATTTACAGACTTTCATCCCTTCATGCGAAGTGACAAGGAAAGCAGGAAACAAGAAGGCAGTCTAACATTCTTTCACAGTCCACAAACGGTGCCTAAGATTTAGAGATACCGAAGGGAGGGACCTTTTCGGACCTTGTTGAGGGCCGCTTCAGCCATTTCACGAGAAAACCACCTCATTTGAAAAGGGAGAGCATAGGAGGCATTTCACACTATTGCACTGTTAGTTCTAAAATTGATGGCCTCTGGATACCAATAGCTTTTATTTTTGAGAAGGTTCTCCCCGAAATAGAGGGATCCAACGACAAGTGTTACTTAAGGGTGAATGCACCTCTACTTTTACTCATAACATACCGCACTAGATTCCATCAAAAACACAACTTAGAAGCAGTGAAACAAAGGTGCTTACCTCCCAGCACAAGGAGCTAGCACTATCAAACATTCCGAGCAGTCATCGACGGTGATCGTGGAAGTATGGTCAAGCACCAGTAATTTGCTGTTCTAAATCAATAGTTTAGGAAAAAACGAGAGTTTGACTGAACACTAAGCGATTAATCGTATAAACTCGTTTTTCAAATTCGATTTTCTTTTGATTACGGTATTCTTCAGGATCCTTACGATGAAGGCAGTAGGAGTAATTCGGGCGGTAAACGTTGGACGTTCAAAGCAGTTACTGGTTTGACAGAAATGTCGAAAATTCTAAACATGGAAATCCAGGAAGGGCTTCCTTTCATACAGCTGATTTCAAGGGATATAAGAGTGCCGTTCGAAGGCACACTTCACAATCGGAATGATTCCTATATTCCCAACTAGGATGAATCCGTGGAAAACAAGTATGCCATGAAGAGCTGAAGGTCTAGGGTGTAGTAAGGGGGCCAAAAACCCGATGGTTCGACGTTCACACTCAGAAACGGACATTTTTTGACGGCGTCATCGAGGATCATCCACAATGGAACACAGATGTTGAAAAGACTGGCCATAGTAAAAAAAANGAACCACCCCTTCCATACCACCCACATCACGGTTACCTCATACAGACGAATACCAACATTGCTGTTTGATAAACTTTATTTTTCGCAAATTTTGCGGATTTTTTGGCTCTTCTCGACACCGATGCACTACTTTTCATCAACATTTCTGCGACCTGTGAACATCGTGAATATCATCGTGAACTCGATGGTCTTTCCGAAGTGGACCGACGNTGGAAAACAAGTATGCCATGAAGAGCTGAAGGTCTAGGGTGTAGTAAGGGGGCCAAAAACCCGATGGTTCGACGTTCACACTCAGAAACGGACATTTTTTGACGGCGTCATCGAGGATCATCCACAATGGAACACAGATGTTGAAAAGACTGGCCATAGTAAAAAAAAGTGCCAAATGTTGCCTTCCACTGCCGCCAGTGAAAGGCAACATTTGGCACTTTTTTACTATGGTCAGCTTCTTACGCATCTGTATACAACTATAATCTCATCGAACCACCCCTTCCATACCACCCACATCACGGTTACCTCATACAGACGAATACCAACATTGCTGTTTGATAAACTTTATTTTTCGCAAATTTTGCGGATTTTTTGGCTCTTCTCGACACCGATGCACTACTTTTCATCAACATTTCTGCGACCTGTGGGGTACTTCAATATCATCGTGAACTCGATGGTCTTTCCGAAGTGGACCGACGGAAAACCGAAAAAGGGGTCAGATCCATTTTCTTACCGTCCACGAGTGCCACCCTTCAATTCTCAACAATCACCAGAAGTATATACCTTGCAAGTCTCTATAGCCATCGGTTGTCCAGCGATTCCACGACGAATTTCTGTTGTCCCTTCTAAATCGTGTATCCGATATTTGTCAATATCCATTTGTGGACGGCGTTCCCTGAAACAAGCATTTCATCATTCAGTTGCAATCCATCAAGCATTGAATTACCCTCAATCACGGATTAGTACTCTATTGAGCTTTTTGTGGAGGAGACAATCGACATATTGCAGTAATAGAGGTTTTTGGAGTGTTTCGAGAGCTAATTTAGATGGAATGGATGAAGTGCTTATAATGAAATTTTTCTTGCATTGAGGAGGAGGGAACAGTCCCTCAGAGGAACACCAGGCACCTTATGCTCGTGCCTTTAACTTGGAGCATACGGAAAATAATTGGCGTTGTTTTAGTCATACAAAACGTGAGTCATGTCATATTTGGTAGTAAGAAGGAAACTGGGACAGACTTAGAAGCAATCAGCCAGAGACATGACGAGAGCCTTCTTTCCTATGGCTGCTAGAGATAGAATTATTCATAAACATGAGGCTATTAAATGGTCAGAAAACGAGCACCTAGCATTTATCATCAGAAGTAAACGGCTACGATTTGGGAGTTTGGACGAGTTTCCATCATTACCGTGAAATACAGAAATGTTTTTAAAGTCGATTACATTGAATACGCCCTCTCCACGAAAATTTACTATACAAACACGAACTAAACTTCAAATTAAACTTTGAATTAGTGAAGGGTTCTTTTTCCTTGAGTCGTAACAATCATCGGGCAGTTTACAGGATGGATCCCTTCGGACGTCAAACGAACACCAGGAAGCTGCCAGCTTTATGGCTTATTCTTTACAAAAGCTTTGAAGGAAAAGAAAGGTATGCTCACTTTATTCGAGCGAGGAGGGAGGATGGGGGAACGTGGTGGGTCGGCTGGATTACAATGGTTCGCAACAGGGAATGGAGACAGTACTGGCGCCTACAGCAAATCGACGATCAACGGACCGACTGGTGGTACTGTTCATATGGATGATGTCCTCTGCCTTTGTTGAGTGTGTTTTTGTAAATATTATTTTCGCGATTAAGTAAAAGAATAGTATCATTTCATGGAAGGGAAAGTACATCTGTGGAAAGTTACGGCGGATTAGAAGAAGGGGAATTGTGATAAGGTTAGCACAAAGCCGACTGGAAAGCCTAACGTCGAGACGCGGGACCCATCGCTTTTATATACAACTTTTTTATTCGATAATATTACTCATAATATCGTCAAACCCATTCTAATTAGGTGCGTCCGCTCAAAGAACTTCCATATATTTCGTCAAATCGCTTTGTTGTCGAATTAGTTGATTACACTTCCTGTCTGTTTTGACCATTTACGTCAGTATTGTTGACTGCTCTAGTCAGAAGTTATGCTGTTTTGTTTTACTGAACCTATTCAGCTGACGTAAGCTGCACGCATTTTACGCTTACATCTCTACTGAGCTCACTTCTATCCATTTGAGGATTTATAAAAAGTCGTATTAATCTTTCACATAACGCCTTGTCCGTATAATACAACAAATTTCACTTTTCAGATGGTGTAGTGACAAGTGGCGCACTAGGTATAGTCTGCGGATCGAATCCCGAATCGTTATCTCAGGCCAATAAAGATATCAATCTCTCCGAGTTCACCTCATTGGTCCCAGACTCGTCTCGTCTGGAAGGATAAAAGCACTGGCTTGAACATCGGCTGGTCAGTGCAAGTCATTCTAGGTCACATACGCAAAACTTACTTCAAAACGTCACTACGATTCTGAATGGAAGTCAAGCGCATGAAATGTCTCAAAAACCGGATTGTTTGCTCCCAAAGACTCAATTGTATTGATAAGTTCACATTTTGCCTTCATACAGTGCATTTCATAATTATAAGGTCACCCTCAAATTTTGCACTTTCAGAAAAAGCAATCATTAAGGATTTTTTCTAGCATCATGAACGGATTCCCCAGCACGAATAACCTAGGTTTCCGTTTTCTAGCCGC